GCAAAAATGTTGCAGTTTGAAATGTATTATGTTTAATAGAGGATGCAAGGGGAGAAAAAAGGAAAATTGACTAAGGAGAGCAGGGAGGGAAAAGGATATTCAAACTTTAGTAAATATTAAGGAAAAAAAAAGGCACAATGAAGCCACACCACACTCTTTAGGTTCAGAGGCAGAAAACTGCTTTCTTGATTTTATTTCAAAAGTATACAAGGTCACAAAACTAGAGCAAGTTTTTGTTTGGTTAAACAAATTTTTTTCTTACAAATTTCAAAATCTGCACCATTGAATACTCAAAGCCAGAAATTTTAAATACAAAATTATTTGGAAACTGACACTATCAATTCTCTACTTTATATATGTGATGTGTCAAAATATTTTTTTCCCAGTAGTACAAGTGTATTTATTACTAAAATTCACAGTTAGGGACCAGAATAAGTGATTCTGATTCAATGAATTGTGGTTCTCTTAACACTTGTATCATTAAACAAATAGAAAACATAAGATTCTTCCTTGATTGGAGCTTTTAATGTCCATGACCAAAACCAAACCCAACTTACATTCACCATACTTTTAAATTGAAAAACAGAGTTTTAGAAAACTTAATTTTAATCAGTAAGAGGCCAGATGAAACCAATATTTGCTAGTGTTACTGTCCATAAAAGAAATGAGCAGTTTTTGCCTAAAGAGACATAAACAGAACCACAATTCACAAATTTATTTTTCTTCTCTGCTTCTATAATGTTTATAAATGGACACTGTGCTCAGTTATGGACCATTTTAGTGTCAAAATATGCAAACAAGAAATTCTAAAGCAGAATACGTTACTATCTTTATTGCAAGAGTATCCAAACGCATTTGAAATATTAAAACTTGCCCAGAATATTTATGCTACTAAGCACAGAAATGTTCAAGATATATGTACACATATGTTACAAGCCACTAAAGTTAAAATTGTGCCAACATTTTCTACAAACTACTCCTCATGTGACACATCAAAGCACTAACCACATAAAATAAGGACTTTTTCTGTTCACACTGGAATAAGGCATCCAAGAGACTTAACACTGTTGAGATGAAAATTAATTAGGAAAAAACTTTAAACATTCATGTAACTTCAAATATACATGCTACACACACACACATACACACACATAGATACACACACACAAAGACACTAAGAATAGTTCTTTTAAAAAATCATACATTATAGAATTCGATATCCATCTCCATGCAATGAGTTCTTTTTATATTTAATCATAATGTTTACTTGCCCCCTGGAACTAATACTTCAAATCTGTAGGACTCAATCTTAAACATTTGCTTAACTGAGTAAAGGTAAAAGTAACATATAAATTGAGGCAAATAATTAATTAAAAATCAGGTATTTCTTCATATCCATAATCTATAAGAATAATAGTTTGAGTTTCTTCAATTAACCTTCTCTAAGACATACTCAGGCTGTATTTCTATTATACAAACACTTCATGGCAGACAGTCAAAATTAAAAGCAGTTATTTTCCTAGAATAATTGGTCAGTGTAATCAGTAAGAGATTTTTTTTTTTCTTTCCTTTTTGCTTTCTAACTGGTGAAAGTTACCAAGGCAGTAAAGTTACCGAGTTACTTGGCAGGTCTTCCAAGAAGGAAAAATAGAAAACCAACCAACCAACCTATAACTATTTCATATTCAAGATGAAGCAGCACATATTCCATGGAATCATTTATTTAGTTATCATGTGTAATTTTCAAACATGGTGTCAGGTCACTTAGGTGGAGTAGAATTAAACTGTTTTGCTTTAAAGATACAGTGCCGACCTTGACCAATGTTTAACTCTTCAGTGGAAAAGAATTAAATAACAATTAAAAAAAAAAAAAATACTACCGATGATTACTAATAAAAAAAATCTGTAACAAATACTGAATTATCAGTGAGAATTATTTGGGATATCATCAGTGATACATATTATCTGAACTTTGGGTCAACTAACATTTGTAAGGAGAGTAGCTGGAAACACACAACTAAAATGAGAGTCTCTCCTCTAAGCTTACTCACAGTCAATACCTCTCTTTAGGTTACGAAGCTCTTTTCTAAGAGTGAGTTGGTACTGATCTAAATGGAAAGCCTTTCTGGAAGAGATTCTGATTCACTGAGATATGTATTAGGGCTAAGGGAAAGAAAGGTCTCACACACGTCCACCTTTTGTAGTAATTTCAACTTTAGTGAGAGCATAATTTTCATTATATGAAAATCAGGAATAGAAAGGATGAACTTTATTATTACTGAAATTTGTGTTCTGCTACTTATTTATTCTTATAATATCTTATAAATAAATCTTATTTGTATAAAAGAGTCCAGACATCTGGCATTCAAAAATAGTTACTGCTATAAAATCAGAAGCCATGAACACAGTCAAAGAATGTTGCAAGTGTTGAAATTATAAAATCTTTATAAATAATACAATCAATTATATCCAAAAAGAACAGAGAAGAAGGGGCGAGAATCAATTGAAAGTGTGAGATAGAAAGGGGTCACAGTGATGCATTTTTGGAAATAGTACCTTCACCTCTAATCACCTTTCAGGTGATAGCAAGCTCATAGGCACCAGAAATTCATAATAATACATTACCCAAAAGGCACAGATAAAAACATTAACACAAGTATAAATGTAATTGTGTGTAAGGTTAAAAACTTATTTTAAAAATGCTTCCAAACATGTAGAACTATAGACTAATCCATTACACAGACATTCAGCTTAAGTTACCATTAAAAAGTATGCATAATACTCCGCCTAATCATAAATGCATGCCAACATTAATTTATAATGTAGAATTATCACCACGGCACCCAAAGAGGTTAACAGAAACCAACTCCCTACTGAAATCTAGGGAAAAGGTTTTAGAGCTAATGAAATAATTTATTGCAGACCTTATTTACTATAGAGAAACTGTTGGCTCATTCTACTATATCCACACTCCCTCACAGTCTTAAGGGAAATAAAATAAATGCACTTTCTTCCACTAAAACAACATTTAACACATTTGGCAGTCAGGAGTTGTTCTGGTTACCTAGTGCCGCTCTGACAGGAATATACCACAAATGGAGTGGCCTTAACAAACAGGAGTTTATTCTCTTATAGTTTGGAGGCTTTAAGTCCATGTTCAAAGTGCCAGGCTCTAGGGGCTGTGTGAAAGCCCCTCAACCTTGGGCTTCAGCTCTGCCTCCAGCTCCACTGAAGCTAGAGGATTTTCTTCACTCAGACAGCTGCTGAGGCTGCCAAGCCCAAGGTAGACAAGTAAAAAGGCACAGTCCCGATGTTACCAAACCACATGGCAGGCAATTAATTTAAGTCCATTGTAAGTCCCAAGGTTGGCAGAACATAGCAGGCTGTTGAACAACGACACGGCTACACGCAGGGTCCAAGCATGTCATAAGCTAGAGACCATTCCCAAAGTTGCTGCTTATATACCAGAAGCAGGCCACACACCTAAAGGAAGCTACTCAGCTGCTCCCAGTAGATTCCACCACGGAGTTGATTACCAGTCTCATCATGGGGAATACTACATCCAGCTGCCCAGCCACTCACCCAGGCCCACCCAGTTGACACACAAACTGAACTACCACAAGAGTATTCCTTTTGCTCCTTTTTCTTCTTCTTCTTTTTTTTAAAGAACAAGTCACTTTCACAAAACTAAGACTTAAACTTTTCAAAGCTCAACCTGATTTTCTGAAACTACACAAAGATATACTGTCCATATAATAACAACTCTCCATCTTCCCAAAGCTGAAACAGAGCTGATCTAGGATATTCACTCTCTTTAAATATATTTGATCATTCTGAGTCTATAAGGAAAGTATCCTCCAAGAACTGCATTCAAGAAGGGAAGGATTATATATGTTTCTTAAATATAAAATATGCAACATTAAAAAAAAAAAAAAAAAAAACTGATCCAGAAAATAATTTTAAATTTGAAACCAATAATCAGGGAATTTCAATCTATAAGTATGAAGTAATAAATGAGCTACAGTTTTTTCTTATTAGAAAAATATAACCTGAAGTGGATAACCAGTGTTATTTAGTTGGGAACAGTGATTCTTTTTTAAACAGCCTAGGTCCATGATTTCAGTGAATAGAGCACGCTACAAAATTTTAGTCCTTGATCTGGTTAGTCACTGCTATAAATACCACCACCAGCCTAGAGACCTTGGATCACTCACCAACGAAATCTATCCCCACTACTGCCTCACTAGTGTCACCTCTGTGTGCAGCTGACATTCACTCATTTCTAAATGAACTTCATAGATGCTCCTCGACTTTAGCATATAAAAGAGCGTACTTACTATCTGTCCCTAGCCCTACAGCAGTCTATCAATTAAATATAAGAAATTATTTAATAGACAAGGCTTATAAATGATTAGATGACTCAAAAGTAAAATTAGTAAATTCTAAAATATTTTAGTGTTTTGTTATTAAAAGTACTCCAAACACATCTAGAGTTTTTAAAGAAGTTATAAAATCAAGAACAAACATATATGTATGTATATAATTATTCTTTGCATGAATGTTTCTTACCAATTCTGGGGGCACTAATGGATTGTAAATTAAATGAGAAAGGCATCCAGAAATTAATGGAAGAAGTTATAAAGTACAACTCTTAGATGATTCAAGTATCAACGTGGTATGCATGTAAGTTCACCAGTGTCCTTAGCTATGGTTTCAAATTCAAAGTGCTACATCTTACTTAGGTATTAATCTTTAGAAACTTATAAAATCAAACACTTTATAGAAAAATCCATGTTTTCTGGGTATCTTTAGTAACTTGAATGCCTTTACTGTTTCAATATAACCAAACAGAACTTTTCAAAGTAAATGTCTTATGGTTTCTGATTAACTTCTTTTTGGTAGTTTTTGAGGCTGATAACAAAATTTAGAACAGGGTAAGTGTTTCCTATTTCAAGAGATGAAAAGAAGCCTGAAGAGCACAGATGAAAGGTGTGGAGGCTCTATACTATAGACCCATCCTTGCTCTGTGCTGGAATCATCACCGGCACCGCTCCCATTCTACTGAGATTAGGGGCAGCTACCTTAGTGGGTGGGAGAGTCGGACTCTGAGAAGCACGTTCAAAGTCTTCACTTGGTACTTGGTTATATTGAGTCTTGGAATAGCCTTCTATGTTGGAAGGAGACATGGATCCCAGGGAAGAATGATTGCTGCCAATGTAGCTCCTGGCAGTGGATGTTCGGCTCTTTGGAGGAGGCACATCTTCCCTGGAAAGCAAAGTCCCCAGTAGAAGTTAGAAGACCAAGTTTTTTTAAAAACCTGGTTATATAAGGTATGAATCATTAATAGAGGTGGTGGAAGATCCTCTAGTATATTACTAGTATATACTAAATATACAAAAAATGTGCGCATGTCTATATAAATATATATACACATATAAAAGAACTGAAAAAAGAAAGTAGGGTCAATTGGCAACACCATAAACTCTATTTGTTTTCAATTTAACATTTTAATTAACAAGTATATATTTTCACTGACAATGAAACCATGGTTTTTATATATACAAATGTATATGGTTCTATGTTGTTTCACAAGGAATAGCTCAAATATTTTTAGATTCTAGTACCACCAATCAAAATAAACTAGTTATATTCATGTAACACTTTATATTGATAAAGCACTAATATCTAGATATAATTCTACTCACCTCCCAAAAAATCTTTTTTCCATGAAAGTTAGTAATTTAACACCTTAGTGGGAACTTTTATAGATTTGGGCTCACCAAAACTAGGAATTTAGTCATAAGGACTTCAACACCAAACATTTACACATATACATATCTGAATGATTTGATGCTGGTCATTTAAAAGATACAAGTGCCCAGAGACCACTAAATGTCAATTTCCCAGGTTGCATCATTATTACTGAAAGTTCTATGATCCAATGTGCACTTCTGGTTAAAATATGGTAGTTTACAACATTTGAGAAAATAAAATCACATTACCAATAGTTTTATGAACTACCCATAATGATACATTTATGCCTTTTGTTTTCCCCCTATGTAATAAGTTTATTTACAAACATAACCAATATGCTATGAGTTCAACAGTTTGATGCATTTTTCAGAGGATGTACTTCTTAAAACATCCTTCTTCTTACCTGTTTTATGGATGAGCTTAAATATCATTTCTAAACCAGCTGTTGCCATACTATAAAGAAAGGTGCAGCAAATCCAGACCCAAAGTATACAGTCATCATAATTAGTAATTGCCACTTGTTTTCCACTGAAAATGGCAAATTCTTCCCTGGGCCTTCCCCACAGTGGCTCCTTTGGGCCACAGATGTGGTAAACTGTCTAATGCTCTGCCCCAACATGGTGCTGTTGGAGTCTCTGCGAAAGGCACAGAGGCCAAGGATGGAAGAAATAGCGGCACCAATTCCTCCATTTAGGCCTTCTTTTAAAACCTCATCATCTGGCCCTGTACCTTTATTTTGTGGAAATCTCATGACTGTCACTTTACTGGGAGATGGCAGACAGTCTTGAGATAATAATTTTGCAGTGTTTCACAGAGTGGGGTCCAAGAAAATTGGGAGGCTGGGCCACTATCAAAGATGGTTCATCTACACATTTGAAATGAAAGTAAAAAATTTTAAAACAGCCTAAGTAGAGGAGCTACAGCTTTTAGCCAATTCTCAGAGTTTTTTTCTTTGGATGATTAAGAGAACCAATGCACTCTAAAGACTAATAAATTTGGTATATGTCAGTCAACGCTTTTTCATTTAATTACCTGATATCATGATGAACTTCTTTTTCATATTTTTCTTCTCTGCGCTTTTTACGGCAACAAAAGATAAGAAGACTGATGAGCACTAGAGCAAGTAAAGTTCCTATAATAGCTCCTGCAATTGTTCCAGCTCTGTTTGAAGCTAGAAAAAGAGGTTAATGAGAATATAATTAATAGTTAAAACAAAACTATATCTATTCTCTGGCAGCATAGTGCCTAAGGCATTTGACTGCTAACCAGAAGGCTGGCGGTTCAA